CTCGAACATAATTATCTTCAATAAGAAGATACTTGTATTTAGCCAAAAAAACAAAAAAACTATTCTCTCATGAAAAGAATACAGAATATTTTTGTCACAAAAGAGGAATATAATATATTTTGATAATGAAATTCCAAATTATTATCAATGTCAATAAATAAAAAACAATATACTATTCGATATGAAATTCCAAATTATTCAATATATTTTTGTCACAAAAGAAGAATACAAAAAAGAATATGCTTTTTGTTAAAAGCATATGGAATTATAGTATTCATAAATAAAAAATATAATTTAATCTAATTGCAAACACACACACACACACATATATATGCTGGTAAAAAAAAACACACACACACACAAAAGGTCCAATATAGCTAATCTGTAAATAATTACAGGACGGATCTTAAGGCTGAAATGAAAAATAAGTAGTGGAAGAAGATACTGTTTAATTAGTCACCTTTGGAAAAAGACATATCTTGTGTGTTTAAATTAAAAGGAGAAAAAAGCTAGGGTTTGAATTACATCACCGAGATATCAGATATACCACCTCCCACATGGTCCCATTGAAACCACCAAGATATCAGATATACCACCTCTCACATGGTCCCATTGAAACCACCAAGATATCAGATTCTCACACATAGTCCCATTGAAATTGGAGGAAAATATTTAGGGAAAATTTTGTTTAAAGACCACAGTACAAAATTAATTTTAAAGAGCCCCTAAAACTTTCTGAAACTTTACTGCAGGACTAAGGGGGCAAACTGATATTAATTTCACAAAGAAAATGACACAATTACCCCTCATAATACTTATTGCGGAGTGATATGCATGTAAATAGACTAATTTTAGTTGTAAATAAAGGTATTTATATTGCATATTGACTAGTCTCACTTGCAAATGCATTCTCCCACACATGTTCACTCACATATACCTTCTCCAAGTGAAGGAGGTGACAGGTAAACATATTAATTTTAGTTGTAAATAAATGTATGTATATTGCAAATTATCTAATCTCACTTGCAAACGGGTTCTCCCATATTTGTTCACTCATAGACACCTTCTTCAGGTGAAATAGGTGACATATAAATGGACTAATTCTAAATGTAAATATATGTATGTATATTGCAAATTGTTTAGTCTCACTTGTAAATAAGCTTTCCTATACTTGTTCACATGAGGGGCAATAACATTATTTTCTTTGTAGAATTAATATCAGTTTGTCCCTTGATCTGTAGTGAAATTTCAAAAAGTTCTGAGAGCTCTTTAAAATTAATTTATACTGTGGTCTTTAAATAAAATTTTCCCAAATATATATTTATATAAATATCAGCCATGCATTGGATTTGGGGGTAGCGATCAGATCACTTTATTTTATTTATTTATTTCAATCACCATCAAGATGCAGCATCGTTGCAGCTGTGCTGCGATGGATTCGTTGGGATCAAAGAAAAAGCAACCCTGACAGAGTCAGCACGAGAGATTAATCATATAATTCTTGTATTCATTACATTCTTTAACAAAACAAAAAGTGGGAATTCATTAACGTTTAAGAAACACTTAAAAAAAGACATTTAATTTCAGTACCATTGGTTTATAGACACTAATGGGATTAGAATTTTCCATGTATTTTGAATGCAAATCTTTTCGTTGGATTGATTTTCATTTAGATCTGAGTTTTGTGCGTGAAATGTATACTGTTTGGGCTCTTTGACGATTTAATTTATAAATAATGTGGGTATATATAATATTCATATAAACGCTTGTCTCTTCATCACATCAGCAAGAAAATTTGAACAGGGCATAGAAACCTTGATACATGTTTAACACCACATTGAAAGGTTAAGATGATAACTCAAAAGTATGTAAGTGAATAACTTAAATGTATGTTTGGAATCATGGTGACATCCTTCAAAAGCAGTTTTTAAGTTGTAATTTATGAAATACAAGATAAGTATATGAGAAAAATTTTATCTGCACTTACATAAGCAACTCATTTAAAGTACTTTGAACCATATTTTAATACTCGTTCGGTCTTTATTATTATAAGCTTCAAATAATTAATTCACAGATAATGAATAATTAGTTAAAATTAGTTAAAAACAATAAATAGGTTCAAATTATGTTTTTATTTTTAAATATGCCCATATAATAAATGAGAAAAAAGATTAAAGAAAATATATGGGAGAATGTGATAAGAGAGAAAAAATTAAAGACAACATTGAAAAAAAAATATTAAATGTTAAGAAAAAATCAAAATAAAACTTATTAAATGGACCACACTCTTTTCTAAACTTGAAGCTATAAATAAGACCCGTGCCGGTATAGGAAACAAACCTCAAGTATAATTTAATGCAAAAGTCTTTTGATAAAAAAAAGGGAGAATAATAATGAGGTATCAAGAAAGAAAAATAATTACTAAAAATTCCTAATAACAATCTTAGTAGCTTGTAATGACAAGTTTCAGAGTAGAAAATGACAATTTTTGGGATTTATTTTGTAATTATTTTTCTTCCTTAGGACTTCATTATAATTCTCCCAAAAAAAATGCAAAAGGTTAATAATAATATTAATCAACAAATTTTTTCACTTAAAAGAATATATAAGAGATGTGTTTATCTCTATAAAATTCTATTCTATTCTATAGTTAATTACAAAAAACATACTTAAATGGAATGGGATGTGAGATTATGTGCACATTAATTGAGTTTCTTCCTCAAATATAAGAAATATTAGATCATTGTCTGGTGCATCTATTACATCAATATAAAAAAATTGACTTTCAGTAGTGACAAAAAGTCATTGCTGAAAGTAGAAAAGTCGCCGTTGGAAGTTTTCAGCGACGACAAGTCGTTGCTGTAGCAGCTGTGGCTGAAAACTTTCAACGACGAATAAAAAGGTCACCGCTGAAAGACACTTTTGACAGCGACATTTGTCGTCACTGAAAACACTTTCGGCGGCGACAAGAAAGTCACCATTGAAAACACTTTCAGCGGCAACAAATGTCACCGCCGAAAGGGATGTTCGGCGGTGACTTTTTTGTTGCCGCTGAAAGTAATACCTAAGAAGAATTGGCTTTATCAACACCACGTCATCATCACCGGCCGCCACGTCATCGTCGCCAGCTGCCACATCATCACTAGCCACCTCCATGTCATTGCCACATCACTCCTCCCCGCCACGTCATCGTCCAAATATTTTCACCTTAAATGTGTCTTCTTCAAGGTTCGAACTCGTAACCACCTCCTTTTGTGTCCAATCTTCTTGCTGCTGAGCCAGATTGAATTTGTTTATTAATATGGTAAAATAAAATATATATTATTATATTACACTTTCAGCGGTGACATTATAAAGTCGCCGCTGAAAGTCAGACCTTCAGTGGTGACACTGATAGTCGCTGCTGAAAGTGAACCCAATGATTCTCAAAGGTATACTTTCAGCGGCAACAAAAAAGTTACCGTTAAAAGTCCACTTTCAGTGGCGACACTTTTGTCGTCGTTGAAAGTCTTAGTTTTAGCGGCGAACTTTCAGCGGTGACATTTTTGTCACTGTTGAAAGTCTTAGTTTCAGCAGCAAACTTTCAGCGGCGATAAAAATAGTCGCCGCTCAAAGTCCACTTTCAGCGGCGACAAAAAAAGTCGCCACTCAAAGTCCACTTTCAATTGTGAACTTTCAGTGGCGACATTTTTGTGGCCGTTGAAAGTCTTAGTTTCAGCGACGACTTTTTTTGTCGTCACCTAAAGTCTTTTTTTTTTTTGTAGTGCATTATGCCCCCATTATTAGTTAGTGTTTTCATTATACAAGTCACTGTGTCAAACATTTAATAGGGGCATTATTGGAAAGAAATTTAAACTTGTAACAGAATTGGGAAACTTAAATAATTTTAACCATTTTGCTTAGTATTGAGGAGTATTATTTATTATAATATATTAACAAATTTTAACAGAGGAATTTGGAATTTATTCCATTATATTAACTTCTGCTAAGATTTCTAGCCATCTAATTTTGGACTTCGAATATGTCCGAGTCATGGCGGGTTCTTATTCAGTGCTCATTACAGCGATCATGATGCAATCTAGACCATTCAAAGTTGGTTTAGATTTAAAATTTTTAATATGTAATTTTTTCAATCATAAACTTATTTTTTAAAAGAAGTGCTAGTTATATATAAGATTATCTTTATTTTGAATTTTGTATCTATTAAAATTAAACATTAATTAAAATATATAAAGATTTAAATTCAATCTAGACTATCCAAAATTCATGTGAATGGTTTAAATTGAGATGAGCACACCCCATGGCTCTGGAGCATGGCTTCAACATGGTCCTTGCTTATGGTGATTATTTGGAAACTATCAGGCCAGCTGTTAATGAGAGAGAGAGGATCTCGACAGTGGAGAAAGAGAGAGAGGATCTCAACATCCAGTGTGGCCAATGATCAACGAAGTTTAATTTGAAGTTTAATCTACGATCGGACTGGAACATTAAAATTCAATTTGCAACATATATGGGGATCAATTTTATAAATTAAGAGAGTATTTTTATTTTGTAGGAGCTAGAAATATACTTTGTTAATAATAGTTCCTTCATGAGACGCACATGACAACATATACATCGCGTCTGACCGAAGAAATTGAAATAAATCTGAGTCATTGAGAGAAGAGCAAAATTTATTTGATGATTAAGCTGAGATGAACATAATTAAAAGGAGATACAACTATTGGAAAGGAATTTGAAGGACATACAAATATTTGCTCTTCTCTTATTTTTGTTTTATTTTTCTTGGTGCCCCATTTGGACATCCTTTATTTTCTTTACATAGCTACAAAAATTAAACCAAGTAAAATTTACCTTTCCCCTTCTCCCTCATCATCATCGTTATCTTCATCATCTTCCCCACACATTACATTAGCATCCAATCTTAATTTCCAGGCCTTCTTCTTCAATAGGAGCTATGTTCTTGTCATCATCATCAGCGAATCAATCATCCATATTCACAGCTAGAAAAATAATTTCTACGTATACCAGTCCAAAATAATGACAATAATATCAATCAATAATCAGATCAAAGTTCTTTATTTTCTTTGTATGTATCTTTCAGGCTTCAAAGTCATCACAGTGGAACAGAGGAGGCACGAATGAGTTGAGATCGCTGAACAGGAAATGATCATCCCCTTCCCCCTTACTGTACATGTTGGAGTCTTCACACTCAAAGTATGTCTGAATATCATCGGGAAACCTGCACTGCGTCGGCATCTCGGACTCCGGCGCCGACAAATCTGCCGTGGACGTCATCTCCACCATTTCCTTGAACTTGGACGACTGAAGCAGCAAACCTAGAGCTGACGTGGCAGATGTCGCCGTGTTTGCCGGATGGGGCTGAGTCAGCGTGCCTTCTTCTCCGCCATTAATAACGTCGAACGAGTCCTGATCAAGCTGGACGTTGTGGAAGAAGCTGAACCTATGCTCTTGAGTAGGGTTTGATGTCGTTAAGGTTGCCACATTACCGTTAGGATCACAGTTAGATTGATCGCTAAGATTAATAATATTGTTGCCGTTGGAATTAGGCTTAAGCCACTTTATATAACGGCTGAGATCGAAGTTGGTGACGGCGTTAAGGCCACGGTATTCTATAGCCGCCATATCATAAGCCGTGGCAGCTTCTTCTTGAGTAGCTAATTAAATTTCAAGCCCAAAAAAAAAAGTCAAACTAAAGAATCTGATGTTGTAAAACAGATGAGATTTAGATCTCATTATCGCATGTTTGGTACGAAATATTTGAGAGGGTTAAGTAAACTAATGTGTCAGATTTGGTGGCCCATCCCAACGTGTTGATGACTGAGACAGATGATATTAATTAAACAATTCAAACTCATGCATGGCCATATAAAGGGAGACATATATATAAGTATATTCTCATACGTAAATGATATATGTTTTGTTAATTAACACATTAACTTGTTGTGTCCGAGACTACTTTCAAAGTTTGAATTGTGCAGAGTTCTAAAGAGGGCTTACCATAAGTACCAAGATACAGATATTTATTGCCGAAAACTCTGCCAATCCGAGCTTCCCATCTTCCATTGTGATGATGTCTGAATATGAGGCGTGCAAGAAATTTGAATTACATTAATTAGCTTATGTTCTTGTCGTTGCATATGAAATAAATATATAAAAAGAGTTTTGTCTTGTAAAATTTAAAAGCAGACTGTATGGAGGGTACCTGGCAACGCCTCTGTACTTAGAAACTCCGCGGGAAAAACCACTGCTTTTCCTGCAATTTTTTAATGGCAAAATTCTCAGCACGAATGTATAATTTTCTTACCTATTCTGGAAACTAAAATCACAAATTAAAGATCGACCAAAGAGATCTCTCTGTCTGTCACATATATGATATATATACCTCCTTAACGATCCAATATACTCTTCCCTCGATTGACCCTCCATTTCTCTCATTTCGTTCTCATACGTTGCCAACTACAATTCAAATTACAAATCACATGTGTATTAGTTTAGCTTTCTTTGATTCCCTTAAAACGCTTCATATGTAAAAACATTACCGGAAAGTTAAGGATCGTGTCTTGACCCCAGTATTTCAATGCTGCTAAATCATAAGCATGTGCTGCTGCTTCTTCATCGTCATAAGCACCTGTATATATATACAGCTTGATCAGTTATTCCAAATTACTGCTTCATAAGCATAATGCTTCCTGATAATCAATACGTACGTACCCAGATATACTGAAAGTTGTATCAATACGAATAACCAAGGGACCACGTACGCCACAAGATTGGGGAAAAAAAAAAAGCATTATTATCAGTAAACTTCACGGTACAGATCAAATCATCATCATTCAGGTTGGGGGGGGGGGGCCTAATGGCAAAGTCACGAACCTTGTCTTCCCTTCTTGTTCTGCGACTCGTTCCAACAATTCTTGTCCCACAAGTGAGCTTCGTACCGGCCAGTCCACCGGTGTCTGAAAAAACAACCCCACCAACATCCTTTTTTAGCTAAAATTTAAACAAAACAAATTCACTAGAACTTCCACTTCAGGTCAGTTAGATCATCAACATCGATATGAAATGCATCACTATTTATCAGCCATAAACACTGCAACTTATCATGTCTCAAAACTCCATGAAATTTGCAGGAAAATATCCAGTGTGGTCTAGCTAACCTAGTGACTCCTCGGTATACAGAGCTGCGTTGAGGAGGAGAGTCTCTGGGGACACTTCTTCTTGTTCGTTTCACTTTCGTGGTCACCCCCGTGTTAGTGACGCCAAGGTGGTTGCTGATCAAATTGCTGCTGGCATTGTTCTTCCGTGATAGTTTCGCCATGAAAATCCAAAGGAAGGTGATATCGATGGAAAACAGTAGAGCAAAAGAATTAATATATATATGACTGAGTCCTCCAAAGAAGAGCCTTTTAAAGAGATTCACAGAAGAATGAGGTTGAAAACTGATTGTGTGCTGGCAAATTCGGCCTAGCCGGCTGAGGATATGGTTGTTTCTGACGGCCGTCTCGCCGAACTGGATCGAATTGTCACCATGATGATAATCTCTCTCTCTCTTCTTTTGTCTTCACTTAGGATTCCTGGGATGTGGTTTTAATTCAGTCATAGTCAAATTGATGATTTATAGAATAAACAAGCCTTTCATTTTCTTCAAGCTCGGTAACAGTTGTTTCATCTCATCATTTTGTCATTTTTGCAATATTTTAATTAAAAAAGAGCCAGACAAATAAAGAAGATGGTGACGGGAGGGAGATAAAGGCCATTTCAGCTTTTACCCAATTTCTATTTCCTACTGTAGATATACTGTTTCTCATTTCATAGATCGGAAATCTATAAAGTCAACATCTTTATTAGAAAACAAATTGAAAGCTTAAGATGATCGATCTCTCTTAGCTTCATCAATTCATCTTGAATGGGGATTTGGTGAATTTGTTAAGCTAATTTTGCATACCAAATTAAAGGGTAAGTTTGGATGGAGTTGGGAGTAGTTTGGGACATTCATATAGGTGTAACTAACCCATGTGAAATGAATTTCGAGTATGAATAAAATAAAAAGAGATGAAGTAATATTGTTAGGTTGAAGATGGTGTACCCTACTTTCATTTTCAGTTTGAATAAATGCAGGAGGGTGGACCAAGCTAAGCTAAGATTTTGACACATAGCATTGAAGCTGAAAAATGGACTCCCATTACTAGTTAATTATGATCCATCCCCTCATATATGGTTCACTCTTGTAACTTTTGGTAATCAAATCACACCTCATTCAAGATTCAACTAATAATTTATATACATATATTTGAATATAGATATTTATCTAAGAATGTCGGCAAATATTTTTTTAATCATAGTTAAGCATTTTTTATGTTAATATGATAATTACTTATTTATAAGGTGTTTATTAATATTAATTACTCTTTTTATAAAATTTTGTATGGTGTATAGAATATAGATATATGGAAATTGAATTTTGGGCAAACATAGCACAAATATAGAAAACAATTATAGAGGATCCCATACTTACATTTTACGAAAGAATTTAGAGAAAACTATTGATGCAGAAAATTTTATAAAAAGAATATATTTTGACATCATAGTAGAAGAGAGAAAGGAATATTTAAGAGATTTATGTATTTTTTTTAGTAAGAAATTTATGTATTTTATTTAGTTTTTGATATTAATGAAAAATATTGGCAACAAAGGATTATGTTTTGGTGAGAAACTGCAATGAATGTATATACAAACAATTTTATTCTTGGGGCGGAACGCATAACAAACCATATATTGTAACCTAATAGAAATATATACAGTAATGACAGATTTTATTTGGTCTTTTCTTTTGGTGAAGATAAATTTTGGTGCGTAACCTATTTAAATACTCCAATTTATAAAGTGAAAGTCGTTTTGAAGAATATCTATACATTATTCTTTTTTAAAATTTTTGACTTTTTCTGTTAAAAATTAAAATGTACTGAAAAGGGCAAAAAACAGAATGGAAAAGAAGGACAGAAAGCAAGATAATTACTTCCACATTTTTTAAGAGATGCATTATAATTATATGCACATCTCAATCATATCATATGGATAACATTATAATTCCCCTAGCGACATGTGCGGAGAACCTACTTGGTGTAAAATAAAGAAAACGATATATGGGAGCATATCACTATACCTTGCATAGTGACTATTTTTAGCCCTCTGCCCATACTAAGTGGTGAGACCCATATCTATCTTTATTCAGAAGGATTATAAACATTTTTTTCTTTTGGTTTGATTTGGTTAAAAAGAAGATATATTGATATCCTCGTATTGGTTTGGAATGAGTGTAAAATAGAAATGATAGTAAATCAACTACGCAAAAACACAAATTTTTTGCTTCTAAAATTTTAGTAAAGTTTAGCTAAAATTCTTGTAGTATTTTCATTAAAAAAAATTAATTTTTGGCGAAAGTTATTACTACTATTATGTACCAAGCATTACTGTCATCCTAGCAACACATAATTTGACTATAATTTTAAGAACTGATTATTTAATCAAAAGAGAATTACAGAAACATTGACCAAGTACCTTAAGGACCAAAATCTTTGTTCCACCTGTAGTTATTGGACGGTTGTAAATTTTTTTTCGTCTCTTGAAAAAAAAAGAAAAGAAAAGAAGAAAAGCACTTAACGTAGGGCTTGTGCGTAAACATATTAGTCAAATCATGTTAATCAAAACAGACCATGTAAAATATATGAGCTATATTGCTGCCAAAAAAAGAGCTACATACTAAAATGTGTTCGAACCATATTGATATTAAGGGTAATTTTGGAATTAAAAATAATTACATATAGTTTACTATTTTAATAATTAAATAAATTGGATGTTCCAATATTCCTTCCCTATTTTCCTAATTTTAAAAGTACGGGATATGATTGCATAGTGGGAAAATTAATTCATTAAAATCTTCCTTTTCCTCTCCTTATAGTTTGACTTAATGTTTAATTGTGTCACTATATTTTTTAATTAGATTCTTATTATTTCACCTGTTTTTAATCAAGTTCTCGTAATTTTTTATTAGATCCTTGTAGTTTCACTTCACTTTTTTTAATTAGATCACTACAGCTTTTTTATTACTCACGTGAAACTATAAAAACCTAATTAAAAATTACAAAAAAGTTAATTAAAAATATATAAAATTACGAAGACTAAATTAAAAAAAAAATACAAAGATCTTACTAAAAATTAAGTGAAATTACACAAACTTACAAATTAAATTTTTCTATTCGACGAAAGTTACACATTTGTCCTTACGTGCACTGATCATTCAATTCTATGCCCATATAGAATGACATACATTTGATAATAATGGGACGGTGGTCTCTTTGATCCAGCGAGTAATCATTGGCTCCTAGTTGATATAGATTTCTGTTTAATTCATTCAAATTTACGATTCTAAACAAATCCCCGTGTGTTGTACACTTGTGCTAGCTCCTGTGTTATTTATAACATCTCAAAATTTGAATTAATTCAATCCTTTTTATAAGGAAAAAAAAAGATCCCACTAAGAATTATTTGAACATCAAATGCGATTTTACCAATTTTACCCCTGATTAATTTTCTACTTTCTTTCATTGTTATTTCATTCTCTTATTAATAAGGACATACTGTTTTTTTTTAATAAAAAAAGAGGTTTAATTTTTACATATTTATTATTTTTAACTAATTTTAACTATTTTTTTAAATCGTATGATTTAGTTAACAGGATCTTATTAAAAAAAACTGAAGAGAGTATTGTATTGCCAAGAAGGACCGTCTTTGTCACGAAGAAGAATAACACTCGTCGTGGTCCCATCATCTCTAGACGTTGGCCTCCGCCCATTTTTGTCATAGTGGGACGGTGCTCTGCTTGGTCTGTGCCTCTTCTATTTAATTGGTTTTCTCATACGATGATTTTCTGAAATAGGGTATTCAACCAACTCCATAGTGGGATTCTATCTAGTATCTAGTATATGTAGTAAATTTAGATCCAATTCTACTCTGTGTACTAAATCCAAGTCAATGTCAAACTTTATCCTTTAACTAACCTACACATCGAAAAATAATCATCTCATGTCGAATTCATGCTGAGAGAAGTATTTATATTTAATGTCTGATAGTATTTCAAACATTATTACATCTAGTGGTAAAATACTTGTATCTAGCAGACAAAAGAAAAGTCATCATCCTAATTAGACCTTTTGTAAGTAAGAGGCTGTGGATTTGATTTTAGATGTTTTTTTTTTTTTTTCCCAAAATCAAAAGAGCGATTGGGTTGAGAAAATAAAGGATTTCTAATTATCTTGTTATCTTAGAACGAACATAAAACAGTTAGATGACCCGAGAGTACAGTGCCCATTTTGGGAATGTCCGATGCCAAAGTCATTAAATGGGTAAGTCACCAATCTCTAAAATGAACCATGTAACTTCATGTAGTCAATATTCACCTTTTTAATTTTTTAAATAAAAAATCATCATCGCCATGTAAAGAATCTTGGCTGTGGGTCTAATATGCGAGGCCAATTATGAATAGGGAGTTCATGATTATAAGTTGAACTGGAGTATTTTGGTTCGTAACCAAAACTCATATTGTCCACAGACCACGAGACCACCGTCCCATGCACTATAAATGATCAAATTAAAATTGCAATCACCTTAAATAGAGTTTGGTGGAGATCAACATCCTGAGAAATGCAACTGATTAAGACACTTATACTCCCAATGGAGACGCAATGATCACATGGAAAGGTAGAAAAATCAAAATCAGCATTTCCTTCAAATTTCCAATGATGTTTCTTTTTTTGGACTAAATTACTCCTCCGGTCCTTAATATAAGACCCAATTCTTAAGTTGGTTTTGGTCCTAAATATAAGACCCATTTTTCATATTTATCAATTTTCTCTTAATTACTCCTATGAATACTCCCTTAAGTATAATCAAGTAGAAGAGGGAGATGAGATATTATAAAAGATGTTTATGGTGTTTTAGGAAAAATGTGTCACTTTTCTTATAATTAACTAAATTACCTAACTTCCTTAATCTAATCAAATTATTTAAATGGGTCTTATATTAAGGACCGGAGGAGTACTAAATTTTCATGTCTAAGTACCAAAATCGAGCCCAAAAGAGATAGGGCCTTTTTTCAAAAGCCCTTTATCCAATTGTTGCGGTCATATAGATTCGAGAGTGAAGACTTCCTCATAAGCGGTTAATCCTCTTTCATAAACTAAACTATCGGCATCGGCCTTGTATGCGATTGAAATTATTTAGAAGCTTATTTTATGAAAGTAGAAACAAAATTCTTACCGGGTATTTATCTCATATTCTTTAAATCATGATTGAAAAACTGCTTATAAGGTATTCCAAACAGATTAATCATTTAATTTGATCCAACCAGCTTGAGGTGGTGTAAGTGTTTATATTAAGTAATTCTAGTAATGTTAATCATGAAAAGCGGTACTGTGCAATTCTAGGACTGGTGGAGTCTGCATACCAAATATTATAAAATAGGTTATCTCGAACAAAGTCACAAGGCTTA